ACCCCCCTCCCTCGGGCGGTTCCCCCGCCCCCTCCCCCTCCTGCTGCCCGGCCCCAGCCCCGGGTTCCGAGGCCGGCACCCACCGTCGCTGCAGACGCCCCCCGCACTCGCGAGACGGGGAGAAGCGTTGTGTTGCAACGAAAACGTTGTCTTTCTCCACAGACACGGGCGGCAGGCCCACCGTCCCGTCCCGTCCCGTCCCGCCCAGAACCAGCTCCGCCAGCCTGCGACACCCGCCCGGCGCCTTCCGCGTCCCCAGGCACGGCCGGACGGCTCCGCACCGGCACTTCCGGTCAGCCATCTTGTTGCCGAGGCATGCTGGGAGGCGGAGTGTTCCATCTCTACAGTTCCGGTCAGCCGTTTTTGCCCCCGAGGCATGCTGGGAGATGGCTTGTTCCACTCTGTACTTCCGATCAGCCATTTTGTTCTCGGGGCATCTTGGGGGATGGAGTAGGCCACGCTGCACTTCCGGTCGGCCATTTTGTCCCCACCCCGAGGCATGCTGGGAGATGGAGTCTTTATCTCTACACTTCCGGTCCACCGTGTCGCTTCTGACGCATGCTGGGAGATGGTGTTACATCTCTACACTTCCGGCTGGCTGTGTTGCCCCCGAGGCATGCTGGGAGGCGAACTGTTCCTTCTCTACACTTCCGGTCAGCTGTTTTTTGCCCCCCGAGGCATGCTGGAAGATGGAACGTTCCACTCTATACTTCCGGCCGGCCATTTTGTTCTCGGGGCATTTTGGGGGATGGAGTATTCCACGCTACACTTCCTGTCGGCCATTTTGTTCCCACCCCGAGGCATGCTGGGAGATGGAGTGTTCTATCTCTAGACTTAGGGCTGGCTGTGTTGCCCCCGAGGCATGCTGGGAGATGGAGTGTTTCAGCTCTACACTTGCGGCTGGCTGTGTTGCCCCCGAGGCATGCTGGGAGATGGAGTGTTCTATCTCTAGACTTAGGGCTGGCTGTGTTGCCCCCGAGGCATGCTGGGAGATGGAGTGTTCTATCTCTAGACTTAGGGCTGGCTGTGTTGCCCCCGAGGCATGCTGGGAGATGGAGTGTTCTATCTCTAGACTTAGGGCTGGCTGTGTTGCCCCCGAGGCATGCTGGGAGATGGAGTGTTCTATCTCTAGACTTAGGGCTGGCTGTGTTGCCCCCGAGGCATGCTGGGAGATGGAGTGTTCTATCTCTAGACTTAGGGCTGGCTGTGTTGCCCCCGAGGCATGCTGGGAGATGGAGTGTTCTATCTCTAGACTTAGGGCTGGCTGTGTTGCCCCCGAGGCATGCTGGGAGATGGAGTGTTCTATCTCTAGACTTAGGGCTGGCTGTGTTGCCCCCGAGGCATGCTGGGAGATGGAGTGTTCTATCTCTAGACTTAGGGCTGGCTGTGTTGCCCCCGAGGCATGCTGGGAGATGGAGTGTTCTATCTCTAGACTTAGGGCTGGCTGTGTTGCCCCCGAGGCATGCTGGGAGATGGAGTGTTCTATCTCTAGACTTAGGGCTGGCTGTGTTGCCCCCGAGGCATGCTGGGAGATGGAGTGTTCTATCTCTAGACTTAGGGCTGGCTGTGTTGCCCCCGAGGCATGCTGGGAGATGGAGTGTTTCAGCTCTACACTTGCGGCTGGCCGTGTTGGGAGCAGCCAGTGCGTTCCCATCCAGTGCACTGCAAACATTCAGGTTTCCACAGCGCACCACCGGGGTGGGCTTGGACAGTGGTAACGTGGCTGAAGCGGGGCATCGGGGTGCGATGCCAAACAGCACGGCCCCAGCTGCGCAGGCTCCTGGAGCAGGTGGGTGGCAACACGGGGAGCCCAAGGACACGCTCCCCGCAGACGAGAGTCTGTTGAGGGCTGCGGGAGCCCTACCCCCCCCCGCGCTACACCGCAGCCTCAGCAGAGCGCTGCACCAGGGCAAGGTGGATACGAGCAGATGGGAGAGGACGAGGCCTGGGAGCCTGAACCAGATGCCCAAGCAGAAGGTGCTGCCCAGCCGCAGAGCACGCTGTGACCCCACACCCAAGGGGCCAGTTCAGGGGTAAGCGCTGCCAGGCATCGCCCTGGTCCCCACGGCCCTGGCTCCACCGCGCTCTGCCACCCAGGGGAGCCCAGCCTTCACGCAGGCCCAAGGGCTGGCCAGGACTCTGCTGAAAGGGGTTAACAGCTGCTGGACTGCGAGCCGGGTGGAAGGCACCAGAACGTCTGATGTCGATTCCAGGGCGGCCCGAGGACAGCGTCGGTACAGGCCCGCCACGTGCGCAGTTGGCAGTCAGTGGGACGGGACAAATGGGCCTCACACAGTCAACGTGCATAGGAGGCAGGAACACTGTAATCGAACAAGTTCATCAGTCAGCACCTGGGAAGGGGCCTGGCCCCCGCCCCGCTGACTGGTGGGGCAGCGACACAAGCCTGATGCAAGCACTTCTCCAGAAACGCTCCTGGCTTCACGTCACCTGCACTGTCCCTGCTGTCACCAAGTCTCGTCCCAGGACACGGATGGAGCACGAGCTCAGGATGGTCTGGTGCTCCCCATAGCAAGGCTTCCACCCCCGCTCTTGCTCCTCTCCCTTCACTAAAGTGCTGTGTGAGCAATTCAGCACCTGGCACCATCACACGGACAGAAGCCAAGCAGGAAGTCCAGGCGCATGGGTGCACAGCACAGCCCTCACCCTGTGCCCAGGCCCTCAGACGCCCCGATGAAGCTGATGGCCCCTTCCACAGCACAGCACTGATTGTCCCAGGCAGTGTCCCAGCAGCAGCTCAGCTGGTCAGGATGTCACAGAGGTCCAAGCAGACAGGCTGGGGGTTGAGATGGGTCCCAAAGGAGAAACAGTTCCCTCCGCCACCAATGAGCAGCAGCTCCTTCTCGTCAGGCAGCAGGACGCTGCTGTGGTTGTGCAGCAGCAACGGCCACTCCACGGCCTCCTGGAAGAGAACAAGTGAGCCCTGAGCCCGGTGGTGGGCATGGAGCTGCCTGCTCCAGGGCAGCTGGTCTGAGGCCGAGTGCGACCTGGGCATGTGGGGGTGAGGGTGGGGGCTCAGCCACAGCACTGAGATCCACCGGGAACGGAGACTGCAGCACTCAAGGGCAGGGGCCGGCTCACCTGGCACTTTGAGGCATCCCACACCTGCGGACCCACCCATGAGGAACAGGCGCCCCATGCCCAGCGCTCTGGTAGGTTTTGCTAGCGACATCCACTGGGCTAGCATGTCCTCTTCCCTGTGCCCCTACCCAGGGCACTACAGCGAGCATCTAAAAAGCTGCAGTTACTCCCAGGAAGCGGCTGCCCTGCCTTCCTGGGGAATCTCAAACCCGGTAGATGAACAAGCTGCCCCACATGCAGATCCCAAACTGCGCTGGGGCAGACTCTGGGTGACAGCCTCCAACAGCCCTGGCCTGCCCGCATTGGGAGAGCTGATACGGCCTGCAGGGGTGATTCTCCCCAAAATACTGCCTACTGGCCTAACCAGCCTGACTGCACGGGCTCACGGTGATGGAGCCATCAGCAAGGCCAATGCCAGGTTCAGATCCCAAGAAAACGTTTCCGCACTATGTGCAAATGCATGTGCTAACCCCTTCAGAAGCTATGGAGCACTAGGGCATGAAAACAGAGTAGTGTTCACTCGGCTGTCGTGAGCAGCTGTTGGTCCCGAGTATGCTTGGAGTGACCTGCCTGGCAGGCCTGAAGGCTGAGAGAGACAGCAAATAGTCCAATATAGCTGGAGATTACTAATCTAATCAGTATATTTGTAATCTAATCACTAACAAACTGGAGCAGCCTAGGAGGTAAAGGGACATGGGACAGGACAGGAAAGGAAGCCTTGGGCCATCAAGTGCAGCCCCCTGCTATAGCTGGTTCAGAATGGATAATCCCTGGAGGAAAAACAATTCCACTCTGAACTGTGTCTGGCTAGTGGAGGATGATATTCTCCGTAAAAGAGCAGCTCAGAGCTGGGCAAGCAGCTTGCTTATGCTGATGTTGGACACAGCATCAAAGCCAGCAGCTATAGGGACAATGGATCTGCACAGCACTAAGCCCTGATCTTGGGGAACAGCTCCCAGCATAGACAAAGCAAATCTGCTGCTGGTTTGACAAGTACAGTGGTTTCAAAAAGCTCTGATGGCTATACCAATTCTGGCACAAACATCCTAACAACATTTCATAGAAGCAGGACATTGGTTGCCCTGGTTCCCCTGCTTTACCTGTGGCAAGTGAGGGTGCTAGGTCTGTATTGTGTCAGAGCTGCAGGCCATCTTATGTAGAGTTTAGATTATGGATTGTATGGGATGGTTTGGACAGGGCTGATCCTGCCCCAGAAAGGGGGCTGGACTACAGCAGTGGTTTTTCAGAGCCCGGTGCAGGGCACAGACTATATCTAAGGGGTCTGTGAAAGGTGACTATGATCAATGAAAAGTGTGTGAATGCCCACACTTACATTGCAAAGGTGTCCGCACCTTCATGCAAAATTTTTTAGGGGTCTGCAAATGGAAAGGTTGAAAACCACTGAACTAGATGACCTCTGGAGGTCCCTTCCAGCCCCTACTTCTCTGATTCTGTGACAGGCAGGCACACTGACCTCTTCTCCTTCCCATGATGACCACAGGAATCCATGGAGGTGGCGGGAGACAATTTGCTGGTCCATAGTAATAGAAAAGCATCAGACTCGGGCCCCAGACTCACCCTCCTTGGGAGCAAAAACATGGAACTTCTCACTTTCCCTGGGTGTGAAGGTCAGCTCTGAGACATCCCGTCTCCGCTGGAGCTGGTGTACAACAGAGCCCTTCAAGAGTCATTCACACTTTGGGTCAGAGAATTTGCTAATGAGCTGTTCTCCCCTAATGGTACACACAATCCAAGACCAGCTGGGCTAGCAGGGAGCCCACATCTCCAAACCCCTGCTCAGGTCAGGACTGTCCCTGACAAACCTATCCCAGCCAAATGCATATGTGACCTCTCGTAAAAGACTCCACAATATCCTAGGTAGTCAGTTCCCTTTCAACTGATTGACCCTCAACACACCTCTCCCACAGGGGCGCTGCTGTGGCACTGCCGAGTAACACCTGGGCAGTTGCATACTTCAGCAGAGTAGCACGTCTGTCAATTCATCCTTGTCCCAGTACAGTGGGGTGAGCTGGGAACTGCCATCCCATACATTACACAGGGTCCCAGGGAGCCCCCACCCCTCCTGAGCCCACGTTTCTCTGAACTGCACTAGGTGACAACAGGAAAACAGCACCCACAATGGAAAAAGACAGTGCCCTGTGACATGCTTTACCAAGCTACCTGCCAGTGGGGACTAACGTGCGCTCTCGGGTTCACACTGACTTCAGCCACACGCGAGAAGGTCTGAGGTGCAAACTGGCAGTGTTACAAAGGGACAAGGAGAAAGCAAGGCACTTGGAGACTAACTGGCTCAGAGCCATACACTTCTATAGGCAAGAGCCTACTAAGCCAGATGGGAGGCACATAGGACCTACTTCTATCTGTGAGTGGGAAGGACTGCAGCAGCTTGCTGAAGGGTAGAGCATTTTGCTTGTGGCAGAGATCTTTGCTGTTACTCCCGTGTGCACTGCTGGCTGCTGGAGATGCTAACAGTGACTGGGATGTGCCCTAAGTCCCAGCAACGAGAAACAGTTGAAGAACAGACTGTACTGCCACAGTGACTAACGCATGTTACACCTTGTCAGTCTCCGAACTGAATGCCTCACGACCGTCGCATCTGTCCACACCCTGGAGGCGGACCAGGCAATCGGGATCCCATCCTCACTGAGGCACCGGGAGCTGCTGTCCTCACCCCTGTCTCCTTACCTAAAACTACCCATAGGGCTAATAGTGACTGGCCTTCAGATACAGAGACTGAAACTGCCACAGACAGCACTGCTGCATCTGCCAGGGGCAGGCATGCTGAGCTGGTACTACCAGCACATTAGCTACTCTGGGCAGCAGCGAGGAACTGAATTGCTGCTGGGGTCACCCTTCCCTTCCTGGCCTGGAGGGCCGGAGGAGAAGGGTGCGCTGGACTCTTGAACAGCAACAGCCCCACTAGTAACAGACTCTGATCATGGCACAGTTATGTCATCAAGAGTACCCTCGTGGGCAGACGCTGTGGAGGAGAGGGAGCTCATTTCAGGAGGCCAGCAACCTTCCCCACAGAGCAGCTTTTCCAACAAGAAGAGCCTCCCCTAGCCTGGCTCAGCTGCAGGCCCCTCTCTGCTGCCGGTACTTAATGTGTCACACGCCGGGTCCCAGACCATGGCCTCTGCTAAGCCCAGGCTTACTGTTGCCTTGCCCAACATGGTTTCTCTCCTCAGTCAAAGCTATGGCAGCTCCTACACTTCAGCCATTCCAAGGTCTAGCTCCCTAGAACTCCCCTCTGCCAAAACTCCCAAGTCTTGGGGCCAGGCTGAAGCACAGCAGGGACAGAGCTCTCCTGGTAGATGCAGAGGCATCTGCTCCGGTCATAACTTGCCTCTGCTCTTTGCTCAGGGGGCAGACGCGCAAGTGGTCAGCACAGCTCACAGCACAGCCTTCTCCCTACCCAGAGCAGAGTCCCCTGCAGAGGCCTTTTTCTGCACTTACCACGTCAATCTGGTACTCCACGCTGGCACCTGTCATCAGGTCAACGACAGCCACACCAGGCACCGACGGAGCAAGAAGCCACACTCCCCCCACCAGCAGGAGCTTCCCATCATGCACGTGAGCAGTGTGTGAATACCTGCGAGCAAAACACAGAAATGGGATGCCTGGGACCAGGGGAACCATGTGAAGGCCACCAGCACATTGTCCTGAAGGATGTCCACCCACCTGGGGACAAGAGGAGGACACGTCTCCAATGTCTGCCACTGAAAGCCACTCTCTGTCGGTCTCAGGAAGAGCACTGACCCCAGCGGCTGTTCAGCTGCTCCCAGGCCTCCTGCGATGAGTGCTCCCCCGGCCCAGGCACAGGCACTGTGGGAATGACGGCCGTCCGGGACCACGCCCAGGACCGGAACCTGGGAAAGCACAATGCCACAGGCTGAGCTCTGCAAGGAAAGCGCTCCCCTCCCAAATTCTTATCTTCCTCTCACCCCCTGAAGGGCATGACCCTGCCCCTGTACCACCGTGAGGGCAGCACAGAGGGAAGCATAAGCAGGTCAGGCCAGGAGAAACCGTTCCAGGGCAGAGTCAATGTCTGGTTCTTTGGAGGTGGCTGTGCTGGAGGAAAGTTTCCATCTTACTGCACTGGCACGGACCGGGTCCCAATGCTGCAATACCTGAGCATCATACAGACTGAAAGCTTCTTACTTTCACACGCTCAGGGCAGTGACACACCTGTTTATCCTTACACCCACCTCTGTGTTAAAGACACCATTGCCCCTTTTGGATTGTTGCCAATTCAGAGCCACAGATTCCTGAACACGAGTGAACCCCGGTGCTAAATGAAAAGCCGAGGATGCTGGCAGGGGTCTGTAACAGACTACCAGTTCCGTACTGAGTGCAGGAGCTTCTTAGCAGCCTGGCCAAGCTGCTGAAAGGAAAACGGTGGCATCAGGAGGAATTTGGCTTGGGAGACTGTATTGTTGGTGTCCGAGCTGCCCTTGTGCTGCCTGGGGTAAGAGATCAGAAGCCCCTGGGGCTGGTCTCTGGTCCCTGTCCCAGAAGTCTCACAGTCAACGTGTCAGACAAGAGGAGACCAAAAGAGACAAGCGGATGGTGTAGTGCCAGGGAGCAAGGTAACACTGGCCAGCACATACAGGGCTCTTCCAGCTTGGCAGCAGCCTACCCGTGATCCAGTCTCTTGTACGCCCCATGGAAAAGGGGTTTTCAGGAAGCAGTGGAAGGAGGACTGCGAGGCAGCTCTGAAGACTTCACAGTGAGCTAATCCCACATGAGGGACGGCAGGTAAAAGCACAAAAATTCTTGTCTTGGGGGAGAAAAAGGGGCAGATGATGGCAGTTGAACCTAAAGGTCCAACCTGAGGCAGGAATCGGTAGGTCCATGGCAAATGAGACACAATGTGGGGGGGCTGTGACAGCCCTCAAAATTTGAAGCATGGGGGTGATCTACAGCTTGTCCAGGGCAGCTGGGACCCTTGCACACAGTCTAGCGATGCTGGCCCTGCAGTCACTATGCTCTCGTAATTAGGTGGCCTGTGGCCTTTGGTGCAGTTTCTTATTTGGTCCCCTGGCTCTCACAAGGACAGTTAGCCTCTCTCTCCAGGGGCACAGTGACACCAGGCAGCCATGTGCCCCAGCCAAGACCGTCCCCAGCTACAGGTATCTGGATGCTGTTTGCTCTTCGTCCATACTGAATGGAACCGGGTGAGAGCACTTGTTCCTAGCCGCTCAGCAGCTTCTAGTCTAACAAGCAGTCCATCTTGATCCGTGGCAGTGAGATCCCACTAGGTTACCTGGGGTCTGTTCTTTTTGTGTTAGGACACGGTCTCCCTTGTACTGCAGTCTGTGGGGATTGTTGCAGTGAGTCCTTCAGCCTCCTTGCAGGGGAAAGCCAGAGCTGTGAGCCACGGGCTGCTGGGGTTGCCCCACCACTGGAATTGGATTTTATAGACAAATGGGTCAGCTCAGCCTGTCTTTCCAATTCCCAGCCAAAGCCCAGGGCTGTGTTTGTTTCTGGGGGCTTTGTTCCCACAGCCGTTTCCCTCTCTCAGGCATTTGCTATGGCTCAGCCTCTGCCAGCTTCTGGAAGGAAAGTAGACTGAGAAAAAAGGGGAAGGGCTGATGTCTTGTTTCCCCCACTCAGATACTTGCTCAGGGACTTTGGCTGGCTGTGAAAGCCTGTGCAGCTTCCTCTGTGGGCCAGTCTGGGCAGGGTTGCCTCAGTTGCCTTTCCGCAGCAGGATGGTGAGGCTGGCTCAGCAGTGCGAGATGCAGCTCAGCCCAGGTCTGCCCTGCCCTTGGCTCCTTCCAAGGGGGGGATTCATGTCCTGGGGCAGGAGAAGTTGTAAAGTCCCCTTGGCCCCCACTAGAAGCTCTGCCCCAGACTGTGGAGCTTGGCCACCCCCATCCTGCCTGCCTCGCTGAGGGAATGAAGTTGGAAGGCACCGACACAGTATGCGTGCTGCCCAGGCCAGCATGGGAAGGGGCCATCAGGTCCAGCTCCCTCAAACACCCCCAGCCTAATGGATCCCTGTTCCTACCCTGAGCTGAGATTTCCAGGAGAAATGCAGACACCAGGTGACCTACTGGGATCTCGTTGCGATGGATCAAGATGAACTACTAGCTAGACTGGAAGCTGCTGGGAGGCTAGGAACCAGTGCTCCCACCCACTTCCATTCAGTATGGGCAAAGAGCAAACCACAGCCTCCAGATATCTAATGTAGTTATTTAGACACACTGCTTTTCCACAGATGGGGAAAATTTTGAACAGAATCTATCAGAGGAAAAATTTAGACACAAAAATGTGAATGAGAATCAAGAGAGAGAGAGATGGTATTTATCAAATGACCAAGAAGCTGTGATACCACAATCAAGAGTGAGGACAGCTCTGGGCAAAAGCCTGTTCTGGTTCGGTGGGAAGTGAAATCATGCAAGGATGATGGAGTACTTTCTGGTCCAGCAACTAGAAAGCATTCATCAGAGAGAAACTTTTTCAAATAAAGGCCCCACACCACTTTGTGAGGAAGGCAGATAATGCATGTGCTCCACTCCCCGGCCTGCTGGTCACAGCGCTCCCCTGGGGCCCCGGCCATTTACAAGGGGATATTTAAAAATGAAGTAGCAGGTTACCTGGCATCTCCCCATTCCCCGGGGAGCAGCCAACCCCCAGGCTCTGCAGCAGATTGACTCCTTTCCCCTGTCTCTGGCCCAATGAGTGCTCCATTGCTTCATGCCAGCGAGGGGAATTGCTGGCCAGGGCACTCCCCTGGGAGGTGGGAAGTCACCTGGGGCAGCAGTGGGACTGAAGCCAGGTCCCTGCAGTCTTCCACCAACCTCATCATTAAGAGAGAAACAGCACCACCACATCCAGAAGAGCTCACAGCTGCAACCCAATGGTGGGAGGTGTCCCTGCAGCCTAGAGCGTGGCCTCTCTCTCTTTTAAGAGGGCGTGTTTTCAGGCCTCCCTGCTCAGCACGCTGGCTTTTTTGTCCCATTCTTCTGCACACCCCAGACAAGCTGCTGGCACCCAACTCCGAGCTCTGCATTCCACTAGGTGGAGGTGCCATGAACCAAACCACTGTCAACCCCCCTGATTCAGTGGCTGAAGCAGGGCAGGGACACACAGAAGCATAGCAGGGACAGATAGTACCCGTCTCCACATGCAGGATGCTTGCTTCAGGTCACAAGATGGCTGTCTTAAATGGGCTCTGGGTGCTGGGCTCTCCAGCCCCAGCCACAGTTCAAGGCTTGATTCCTCCTTGGGCACTTACCTGCGTGCAGGAGAGCTCCTCCACATGCAGGAAATACCAGTCCCCCAGCAAAGGCCACACAGCAGAACAGCCCCCATAGATAAACAAGTATTTCTGGCCTAGAAAGACACACAATCAGGTGAAGAGCTAGGACCTGGAGCATGACAAAAGACCTCCCGCCTGGGTCACTGCATAGCAGCTGCTAGGGCAGACCCAAATCGACCCACACGCTTTTTGCTCCCACCCTGCACAATGAGTTTGCAATGGCTTCGGAGCTGTGCTGGTCTCTCAGAAAGCTGCAAGGTGGGACAGGTTGCTCCCAAACACTGGGTCCTAACCCCAGTCCTGCCACCAACTCCCTACTGAACTGGGGAAGGAGTTTCACCTCTCACTTCAGAACACTTTATTGGCATGGAAAGCTCAGAGAACGTATCAGCGATTTACAGATGTTTGTTAAAAAAAACCCAAATCCTGAAAAATGGAAACAGCATTAAAATACCTCTGCCCCAGGGAGCTATTACTTAGCACACTGTTCCACAGCTCCCAAAGCTGAAAGCAATCATGAGCAAACCCAAGCGGAACAAAAATATTAAACCTAAAAATATAAATAACAATTAAGAATAGTCAAAAAGTGCTTATTAGAATCCCTTCTCCCCCCCGCAACCCCAAACTAACCAGCAACTCTGCAGACATAAAAGACTGCTTCTGTGAGCAAGAGATGCATTTTGGTTAAGAGAAGATGAAAGAGGCAATGAAAATGAATATGTAAATAATAAAACAGAAAACTGGAAAAGAAAGAGCCATGACTACAGATCAGCAGTTAGGAAATGCAGACAATGGATAAGGAAAACTAGAAGGAATTACTTCTACATATCTGGCACCAGAGAAATCCTGGCAGAAGCACAGCTTGAATACCTAAACTAGGATCATGAGATTATTAACCACTAGGCAGAAAAGACAGAAACATTCAACAAGTTTTGTCTGTTGCGTTTGGGGAAAAGCAGCTGGACAATGCCTACATATTTTGCAGCGATGTGGAAATTATTTTTAATGTCATCAATAACTAGCAAGAATGTTAACCAGCAACTAACAATGAAAACGAAGCAGCTTTAACTCTGCACAATTTTCACTCCAGGACATAAGACAACTTGAACAAGAAGTTCTCCAAGACACTGAAGCTGACTTGTAACAAATCCTGTGACACATGGGAAGGTTTGGGAAAGTGGAAAAAAGCCAGGATTGTGCCAGTAGCATGAAAAGTAAAAGAGAGATGATCTGGGCTGCTACAAACCAGTCTAACTTCGGTCCTAGAAACACTCATGGAAAAGCCGATTTAAAAGATGTCAACCCCAATTAAAACCACTCAAAACAGTTTCATAGAAACTGGGTCTGGTCAGACAAACCCAGTTCAGCCTTTTGATGAGATTATCGTTTACTTCACAGACAATGATATCAGCGTAGCAATCAGACTGCTGTAGTGTTTCACTTGGCACATCACAACAGTCTGCTCACAAAGTTAGCGCTACGTAACACGAGGAAGCACAAGTTAAGTGGAACACAGGCGGGCTGACAAATCTCAGAAGTAAAGATCAACAGAGAACTGTCATGGAACGAGGGTGTCTTGAGGGGTGTACCCTAGCCCTGATACACAGGCTTATTAGCGGCCTGGAAGTAAACACACCTCACTATTGATACCATTTGCAGAGCAGGAGAGGTTAGTAACAAGGAGGACAGGGCACTCGCACAGAGGAATCTGGATGGGTTGATAAAAATGTGTGTTAACATAGCCACATACAAGGCCATGAAACAAAAGACAAAAAACAAAACGCAGGCCATAGTCATGGAATGGGGAACTGTCCGGGGAAGCAGCGAGTCCCTAAGGGAACGGGGATCACGACGAACAAACAACTCGGTATAAACTCTCCATACAGCGTGGTGGCAAAAAACACGAATGTGATCCTCGGGTGTATAAACAAAGGATTAGTGAGTAGGAGTATGGAAGTAGTTTTACATCTGGTTGCAGCACCAGCTGGCCAGTTATTGGAATACTTGCATCCAGTTCTGGTGTCTACATTTAGAAAAGGATGTTGAAAAATTTGGGAGGTGCAGAGAAAAGCCACAGAAATGACTTCGAGTCTGAGAAGGGCCTTGCAGCGAGGGACTTAGAGCTCAATCTGTTTAATTTATCTAAAATAAGACCAGAGAGGTTATTTGATTACTTGGGTATAATTCTGAATACAGACAACCCGTCCCTCATCTGTGGACAAAGGCATAATAAGATCCAATGGCTGGATGTTAAAATCCAGATGCCCCAAACATGTGTCAAACAGCTCTCCCAACTGTACAGCTGGTCCAATAAAAGCTATCGCAGAAAATCCTGGCCTATAAGAGGCACCTATGTCCAAACAGCAAGGATGAACAACCCCTCGAACAGAGTTCCCAGGGAAATGGAGGCTTCAGGATCGTGCATCTCTTTCTAAAACGTGGTCTCCAGCTCAACCAGAATTTACTGTTTGAGATGCAGGAATACAAAGCAGACACATCTCGGTGGAATGCAGTAGCCAGCATTACTTGGGAAGCTAGGCAAGACTAAATTACCACGTTGGGCCTCAATAGCGTGTGGTTGCTGGTGTGCTTGTGGGATGGCTATAACGCCAGGTCTGCTTACAGCTCTTACCTCCCTTCCCCAGCTCAGTCAGAGCATCCCCATCACTGGGGAAAACCCTCTCCAGGTCTCCTTACCTTGGCATGTCACCTCAGTTGTGGTATGTCTCCAGCGCTGTGAGACCGGTTCCTCAGCTAGCTGCAGCCTCTTGAACTGCACCACGATGCTGTCTGGGTCCAAGGCACTTGAGGATTTGTGGAACTCTAGCCACAGCGCCCCCAACGCTGTGCTGGTGGGGGACATTCGCCCTCCCATTACCAGGGCCCGGCTCTCGGAGAGACGAGTCACAGTGTGGTACAACCACCCACCTGTAGAGAGAGAAAAGCCCAGGAACTGGACTGCTCCCAATCAGGACATTCTGACGGTTACCACACCAGAGGCTTCAGTCCGCTCCAGTTTCCATCACTGCTGCACCGGTGTCACATGGATTCCTGTGTATACCCCATCCCAAGGTAAGAACTCACCCCAAGCACTGCTGGGCTCTTCCACTCTCACGCAGCCTGCTCGCCAGCTGTGCTTATGCCTGACTAGGAGGTGAAGCTCTCTCAGGCGACAGTGCCGTCCATCCTGCTCTCCAAAGCCACCAGTGGTAAGGACTAGATGTGGTCCGATTAGCACAGAGCGGTGAGCAAACCTCCTCAGGCCTGCGGCTTCGGAATCAATCACGCACACGGAGGCACGGATGCTCCCAGTGGTGGCAGGGGCATTGCCAGGAACAGAAGCTGCAACTGAAAAGAGGAAGACTCTAAGGCTCTCGGGGTTTCTTTGCAGTGTGCCCCAGATCCTACTCAAACAAGAACCAAGACGCAGACAACCCAAAGCAAAAGGTGAACTGGTTCAGCTTATCAAGAGATGATTGAGAGGCACCTTGGCTGCAGGGTACAAGTACCTTGTGGGGGGAAAGGTCTGGCAACTAAAGAACCCTCTAAGTTAGCAAAGAAAGGCAGAGCAAGCACTAGTGGCTGGAAGCTGGAGTCAGTCAAAGTAAAATTAGAAACAAGGCACATCTTTCTGAACAGCAAGGCTAATTAATGACAGGAACAAACTCAGAGCCAAGGGGTAAATCTATCACTTGGCAGCTGGGTGTCTTTTCAGAAGGAAGATACTAGGCAAACAAGCTATTTGGCTCAGGGCAGGGGTAACAGGTGACAGTCTCTGGCTGGCATTATGCAGGACCAGGCAAGATGAGCTAATGCTTCCTTTCTGGCTCCACAGTTATTGACCTACGAATGAGCAGAAATCTGGACACAGAACTGGCCTTCCACACAGACACCGCCAGACTGAACTGTCTCCACCACCCCTCAGCCCAGAATCCGGTCTCCATGCGCGGCCTGCACCAGATGCTCTGGAAGCAAGTGGGCGTGGGATAATGTGCTCTTTACATCAAGTCTCGTCTTTCAGAGACTGGCCTAATACCCTGAAGCACGAGGTTCAATCTCTCTTCCAAAGCTCACTGATGAACTGTCCTAGCTGAATCTTCCTGGTTATGCAAGCATCTCACTTTTCTTTACCTACTGTTAGGCCCTTGGCCTCAGCTATAGCCTTTGGCATTAAGTTTCACAGCATTTAACTACACACTGTGCGAAAAATGATCAGTTTTGAATCTGCTGCCTTACAAGGCAAGAAGAACAGACACTCCCTGCCTACCTTTTCTAGATCATTCACTATTAGATGCAAAGCTGAAAGCACCCCCTATATTTACAGATACCCAGCATCCCATTATAAGATCCTCTTTTCAGTTGCTTGGTCTGAAATTTCCTGTGCCACGTTTCCCCCCAGGCTGAAATGTTTTGAAAACCTCAGGGGAAAAGATGGTTTAGTTGCTTCCAAGTAATTAAGAGAAACAAATGTATAATATGTATGTATAAATACACATATGTATATATAATTAGTTGTTTTGCCCATTCAAAACAACTGAAGTAGTGTGACACACAGGACTGCAGCAACACACTTCTTGCCCAGATCTCGCCTGACTCCGAGTTGCCTGTCTGTAGAATGGTGAAAATCAGGACACAGAGGGGTTGTGGAGCTACGTTCAGCCCTGGTTGTGGAGGAGTCAGACCCTGCTGCAATGTGCGCCTGGAAAAAGCCGACAAGGAAGTTGTTTATTTTGTATGCGAGGCAGGGCTTGAGCACCATGCAGGGCACAAGGCACACAGCCAGGCTCTGAGCAGTGACAAGAGAACCAAACCCTGAATGAAGAGGTATTCATTCCATGACCACCAGGCACCCCCACCCTGGCTGAGGCCAGGGCCTGTATACACACTGGTATGCCATCCTGGACTTGTAACTCTGTGCAAGGGGCTGAATACAAGTTAGAGAGGCAGCCCCAGATCTGATGTCTCCTAACACGAGTGATTTGTTTAAAACATGGCAGTTCAGCTTCTGAGTGGGTAGGGGCCACATGTCAACATGCCCCTCTGGCACGTGCACCCCTGCCATACCATACAAGGGTCACCCTCCACCACACCATGCCAGCACCTCCACCCACTGTGCTGTATTCCCGCATCATACAGACTCCAGGACCTCTGTGAGTCCCCAGGCCACAGGCTTTCTTGGCCATCCCGCTCCAAGCCCAGATGACACTCAGCTGGGAGGAGTAGTAGACAGGATGGAAGGTGGGGCTAGGATTCAGAGTGACCTAGACAAGTTGGAGGATTGGACCAAAAGAAATCTCATGAGGTTCAACAAGGACAATTGCAAAGTCCTGCACTTAGGACAGAACAATCCCATGCACTGGGACAGACTGGGGGTGACTGGCTGGGCAGCAGCTCTGCAGAAAAGGACCTGGGGATGACGGGACAAGAAGCTAAACAGGAGCCAGCAGTGCGCCCTTGTTCCCAAGGCTAGCAGCATCCTGAGCTGCATTGGTAGGAGCGCTGCCAGCAGGTCAAGGGAAGTGATTATTCCCCTCTATTCAGCCCTGGTGACACCACATCCGGAGTACTGTGTTCACTGTTGGGACCCCAACTACAGAAAGGATGTGGACAAATTGGGAAGAGTCCAGTGGAGGGCAACAAAAACGGTGAGGGGGCTGGGGCACATGACTGGTGAGGAGAGGCTGAAGGAACTGGGCTTACTTAGACTGGAGAAGAGAAGACTGAGGGGGGATTTAATAGCACCATTCAACTACCTGAAGGAGGTTTCAAAAGAGGATGGAGCTGGGCTGTTCTCAGTGGAGGCAGATGCCAGAACAAGAAGCAATGGGCTCAAGGTGCAGCAAGGGATGTTTAGGCCAGCTTTTAGGAAAAATTCTCTCACTAGGAGGGTAGTAAAACACTGGAACAAGTTACCTAGAGAGGTGATAGAAGCTCCATCCTTGAAGGATGTTAAGACCCAATTAGACAAAGCCTTGGCTGGGATGATGGAGTTGGGGCTGGTCCTGCTTGGAGCAGGGGTTGGACTAGATGTGACCTCCTGAGGTCCCTTCTGACCCTCATTTTCTATGATTTTATGACAAGGTAAAAGCCAGAGGAGGGAGACTGAGCCCAGAGACTCCAGCAATGGCAGCAGTGGGGGTGGCATTCAGACCAGGAGCCCAGGGGCCACATGCAGCCCATGTGCACCAGCTAGAGAGCCCCGATTTAAAAGAATTTCAGGCTTACAGAAGCTGCTTATTCGTATCCTGTTACCTCTCCACTGTCTCCTACTTATCTTCCTTCCAAAGTGAACCAGCCCTGTTTTCTCAATCTCTCTTCATACAAATTATTCCAGACCCCTAATCAGTTTTGCTGCTCGTCTCTGAATGTCCTCTGATGTAGCTTATCTTCTGACATACAGCACAGCCTGCATACCATACACGCCTGGTTTTTCATAGAACTGTAGAACCAGAAGGGACCTGTCAGATCATCAAGTCCAGTCCCCTGCCGTGGGCAGGAAGTTATTGGGCTCAGATGAGCTCGACACGGTGCCTGTCCAGCCTCCTCTCAAACACCTCGACTGCACCATCTCCGCTGGGAGCGCGTTCCAGATTCTGGTAATCCTTACAGAGAAAAAGATTTTTCTTATGTCTAGCCTGAATTTAGTTTCTATTAGCTTATGCCCACTGGCCCTCGTCCTCCCTTGGGGTGCCTTTCTGAAGAGTTGCTCCCCTAGATCCTGGTGTTCACCTCTGACGTACTTGTAGGCGGCTATCAAGTCACCTCTCAGCCTTTGCTTACTCGGACTGAACAGGCCCAGTTCCTGGAGTCTCTCCGCATAGGACCTATCCTCCATGCCCTTGACCATACGGGTGGCCATTCTTTGTACCCTCTCAAACTTATCCACATTCTCCTTGAAGTGCAGTGCCCAGAACTAGGCACAATACTTCAGCTGAAGCCTCACCAACACTGAATAGAGAGGAGTACCTCCCTGGATGTATTGGTCACACATTGGCTGATGCACACCAGAGTTTGATTTGCCTTCCTGGCGACCTCATCACAATGATGGCTCATATTTATCTTCTATTCGATCATGACCCCCAGGTCTCATTCAGATGTCGGGACAGCCAGTAGACCATCACCCATCATGTAGTTATGGTGAGGGTCCTTCCCACCCAGGTGAAGGACCTTGCACATACCCCTGTTAAACTTCATCCAATTTCATTCTGCCCATGCTTCCAGTCTGTCAAGGTCGTCCTGGATCCTGACCCTATCCTCCAATGTGCCCATGTTTCCCCACAGTTTGATGTCATCCGCAAACTTAATCACTGAACTCTCCGCTCCCTCATCCAAGTCATTAATGAATATATTAAAAGAGCACGGGTCCAAGCACCGATCCCTGGGGGATACCACTGGAGACAGCCCTCCAGAATGAGGCCATCTCATCATTTTGAAAGACAGAATGAAAGAGGCGGGGGGGAGAAAGAAAAGAGAGATCTTTCCTTGAAAATATCAGTAAGTACAGCACTTCCTCAGGGAAAACTGGGAGGGGGAGCAAAACATCGTGGTTGCCTTTTTATCCCATAGGTACAGAACTCCATCAGTGCTGCTGGCCGAGCCAGACTGTCCAGCACCTCTTCCCTTCTCAAACTGAGCTGGGTGGGCAGCCAGCAACGCAAGACAAGTCAGCTGAGGTCCCGATCCTGGCCAGCAGCCCCTGGATGATTCAGAGGACCCTCTGCCCCAGCACCCAGAAATACAGCAGAGCTGAGTTCCAAGTGCCAGGGGAGAGGCTCCTGCTGAGCCCGTAACAGCTTCTGCAGCATGAGCCTCTGCTGGGGGAAAGAGCATCCACCACCAGCAGCCAGGCACCCCACGTGCTCCCAGCACTGCTCCACCCCGCAGCATGGACAGCGTTACTTTCCCTTTTCTCCAGCAGAGGCTCATGTTATGGAAGCTGCTATTACCAGGTTTCCTTGCTTGAAGTGTGCTGGATCCCAGGCTGGATCCACAGACCCAGCAGCACCTGCAGTGGGGGTCCAAGGAGTTGCCATGGATGGCCATGTGTTTCACAGCATTTAACAGGAGCCCAGGCACCCCAAATTCTGCAGCACACCATGACCCCCAACTCCTAGCAGCATGCCAGACTACCAGTGGGCCAGAGGGAACAGTTCCATGGGTGAGTCCAGCCTGCAGGCTGTAACAATTGATGCCCACCACCATTTCTATAAAAACATGACGGTCTCTGCATCATTCACCACCTTGTGAATCCTAACAGCTTGCTTGTTTTCTTGACTCAAGCTAGACAGTGAGCAGAGGTCTCTAGCTAGCTGTCCATAAAGATGTCCAAGTCCCCTTCCAGAACTGATGCAGCTAATCAGATACTGTTTGTACTCTTTATGAGGTTGTTTTCCTCGCCAGTGTGCTAATATTACTTTGCATTTCTTGACGCTGAACTTTGCCATCATGTTGCTACATAACTGACCAGAGGCTAAACGCAAATTTCTGGCAAACAGACAACAAATGCTGTCCCCGGTGCTAAGTACTTCACAGCTCTAAGCAGCAGCTGTCAGATAGATTATAACAACTGCTGTGAGAACCCAGCAATGTCCTACACGTGTGGATGCTAACTGTCAAATCCCAAACCATGCTTAAAAAGACAGCAGCGCTCCCTGCACAGGCACCTACTCAACAAACTATAGCTAAATGCTGGCTCTTCAGCCAGTTACCGTTCTGTCTCCAACCTCCCTCCTTTTTGGGGAAGGTCACTAAATGGATGGTTGCCTGACAGCTTCAGGCACATCTCCATGCCACCAGTCTCCTTGTCAGTCTGGTTTTCGTCCTGGATAGCACAGAGGATGCCATGGACGGCTCTGGTTAATGATCTTCCCCTGGAGACCAACAGGGGAAACTGTCCTACTGATCTTCCTGCATCTTTCAGTGGGCTTTGATACATGAGAAGCCAATAAAGTTTTTACATGACCTGGTGGGTATTAGCAGGGCGACTCTAAATTGGTTCTGCTCTTTCCAGAGGGTGGTGGGCAAGTGCTTATTATCATAGTATCATAGTAGCTAGGGTCAGGAGGGACCTGAACAGATCATCTAGCCTGACCCCCTGCCACAGGCAGGAATGAATGCTGGGTTCACAGACCCCAGACACGTGATCGTCCAACCTCCTCTTGAATATGCCCAAGGTAGGGGCGAGGACCACTTCCCTGGGAAGCTGGCTCCAGATTTGGGCCACCCTAACTGTAGAATATTGCCTTCTGATCTCCAACCTAAACCTATTCTCCATCAGCTTATGACCATTGTTCCTCGTCACCCCAGGTGGTGCTGGGGAGAAAGAGCTCTGCCTATTTGCTGTTGATCCCCCCTGATGAGCTTGTCGGCAGCCACCAGGTCCCCCCTCAGCCTCCTCTTGCTGAGGCTGAACAGGTTCAGGTCCTTCAGTCTCTCCTCGTAGGGCCTGTCCTGCTGCCCTCTCACCAAGCAGGTGGCCCACCTCTGAACCCCTCTCCAGGCTGGCCACATCCCTCCTGAAGTGCAGTGCCCAGTACTGGATGCAGTACTCCAACTGCGGCCTGACCAAAGTTGCTTAGAGGGGGAGGATCACCTCTCTGGACCGGCTTGAGATGCACCTTTAGATGCATGACAAGGTATGGCCAGCCTTGCTGACTACGGTCTGGCACTGGTGGCTCATGTTCATTTACATGCGTCTCCGTGCTTTCAAGAAGGGAACTCCCCAGCCTGTATGTATGCTGTGGATTCCTTCTCCCGAGGTGCAGCACCCTGCATTTGTCTACACTGAACCCCATCCTATTCTTGTCTGCCCACTTTTGTAGTCTGTCTAAATCTAGTTGCAGTCTCTCTCTCCCTTCAAGTGTGTCTACCTCGCCACACATCTTAGTGTCATCAGCGAACTTGGACAGCATGCTTTCCACCCCCTCGTCCAAGTCGCTGATGAAGATGTTAAACAGTGCGGGCCTGAGGACCGAGCCCTGGGGTACCCCACTGCTCACATCTTGCCAGGTTGAGTACAACCCATCCACCACTACTCTCTGGGTGCGCCCCATCAGCCAATTTTTTACCCATCCAACTGTGCAGGCATCAACGCCGCAGTCACTTAATCCATTATATATCCACTTAGTACCTTTTCCTGGGCAAGTGCTCCTCCTGTTCAATGTATACACCACTGGGCGAGCCTGGAGAGATCTGGAGTGGGGGCCCATCAGAATGCTGATGACAACCAACTCTGCCTCTCTTTCTCATTTGACCCTGGCCCTGGAGTCTCAGTCCTTTCTCGGTGCCTGGCTGCAGCTGGGGATTTGATGAACTTGACAGAGGCGGCACTGGCACACCCGCCATCGATGGAGGTCAGCTTCCCTTGGGGTGCTCCTGGATCCTCTGCTGCACCTGGATCTTCAAGTGGCAGTGATGGCTAGAGCACTTTTCACCAGCTCCATGTGGTGAGAAGGCTGTGACCCTTCCTATCAGATTTAGATCTGGACACAGTCATCCAGGCCTTTGTAATCTCAAGGCTACACTAATATAACATGCTCTACATAGGACTGCCCTTGAAGGCTGCCAAAAGATGCAGCTGGTACAGAATGTGGCCATGGCCAGTGGGTCTCCAGGAGCACATCACTCCAGTCCTTCAGTGTCTGCGCTGGCTTCCAGTAGCTCTCTGGGCACAATTCAAGGTGCTGGTTTTGACCAATAAGGCCCTAAACAGTTTGGGCTCCACAAACCTAAGGGACCACCTTCTCCCTTGCACCCCATCACAATCCTTAAGGTCAGCCAAAAGCAACCCTCTGCAAGTAATATCCATACACCAAGTCTGCTTGGCAAACTTGTGGGAGGTCATTTCCAGAAGTTACTCCTCAGTTTTGGAACCCTCCTCAAGGCCACCGTCCGAGCCTGGACGTCTCCAGGAAACACTGCAAGACTTTCCTATTCAGGTGGGCATTAGCAAACAAAGCTGGATGAGATACTGTTTAGGGCCTCTGTTTCACATTGACACTCTGGTTTCCTTTTCAGCTGCTTTCTTCTCTTGCTATTCTCCTGTTTTAGAAGGTTTTCTGTTCTCTGACTGCAAGCTGCCCTGATCCTCTGCCAGGAAGGGTGGCATACAAATTGAATGCACAACAAGCAAGCGTAAATCTGCTCTGGACACATTGGTCGTAGCAGCTGTGTTCAGCGGGGTGAAGTGATGA